CATCTGGAGACTCTTGAGTGGGAAAGTCCAAAAGATGCACAAACCCATAAAAAACAAGTTGAGACCAATAGGGTGTTTGAATTTCTGGCTGGCCTGAATTCAGATTATGACATTGTGAGACAGTAGATACTAACAAGAGACAGTGTGACCCTCTCTCAAGCATACTCCCTAGTGCATAGTGAAGAGACCAGGAGGAAGGTTATGATGCAACATCAGCCCTTTCCCCCAGCCCTGGCAGAAGTTAAACCTAAGTTTGGGGGTGATACAGAAAGGGACATGAAGAAGGAAGATAAACGGGATCTGCTATGTAAACATTGCAAGAAACCCAAGCATATGAAAGATACATGTTGGAAGCTCCACCCTCATTTAGTCCCAACAAAACTGAAGAATAAAAGAGGTAATGCTCATATGGTTGTGAATAATGATTCTGCATCATTGTCAGGCACAAAAGGCACGCCCCTAGATACCTTAGCTGTTGTTCGGGCTTCCCTAATACAGTTGGAAAAGGAGGTTGGGAATTCAGCTTAGTCATCTCAGTCACCATCAGCCCCTACCACATCTGCATTTGCTCATTCAGGTACTCGGGCCTCAGCCTATCATGCTTCAGCTCCAGGTAACACTGAACACTATTGGGTAATAGACTCAGGTGCATCTGACCATATGACTATCTTGCCATCATTGTTCACTACTTATCACTTATCTTCTTGTAGAGATAAAGTATCCATTGCTGATGACTCTCTTGTTCCCATTTCTGGCAAGGGTGACATCAAGTTATCTGATACTATTTCTTTATCCTCAGTCTTGCATGTTCCTAAACTTGATACTAATTTGCTTTCAGTCGGTAGTATTACCAAACATCAGAATTGTTCAGTAACCTTTTTCCCTGACCGATGTGTTTTTTAGGACTTGGAGACGAGGAAGGTGATTGGGACTGGCCGTGAGACGAATGGGATCTATCTGCTTGGAGAAAGTTCTCATTGGAAAGAGCCAGTGGATAAGAAATCTTTTGTTTCTCAGTTTGTGAGTTTGGTTATGCTTTGGCATAATCGATTAGGTCATTTATCTTTTCGGTCTTTGAARAGTYTRTTTCCTAYTTTATTYGARTCTGTTGAGATGTCAAATTTGAGATGTGAGAGTTGTGAGCTTGCCAAACATTGTAGAACATCTTATTCTTTGAGTAATAAAAGAAGTAATAATTCTTTTGATATTGTGCATACCGATGTTTGGGGGCCATATCACATCCCTTCTATGGGTGGGTATAGATATTTTCTGTTGTTTGTTGATGACCATACCCGTTGTTCTTGGGTCTACCTTATGCGTTCTCGAGATGAGGTTCCCGCTCTGGCCCAAAACTTTCATCAGATGATTTTAACCCAGTTTGGGGTCAAAATCAAAGTCCTTAGATCTGATAATGCAAAAGAATACTTTGCTAAGCCACTGGCCTCTTATTTACTTGATCATGGGGTTATTCACCAGAGCACTTGTCCTCATACACCACAAGAGAATGGGGTTGCCGAGAGGAAGAATAGGCACATTTTGGAGGTGGCTAGAAGCATCATGTTTACCTCCAATGTGCCTATCCGTTTCTGGGGTGATGTTATCCTCACGGCAGTGTATCTCATTAATCGGGTTCCTTCCCAGGTTCTTGATATAAAGCCTCCGTTTACCCTTCTATACCCAGATGAGGAGTTGTTTACTGTTCCTCTTAAAACCTTTGGTTGTACCTGTTTTGCTTAGCTTCTTGGACCTCATCATTCCAAATTTGACCCTAAGGCCTCCAAATGCATTTTTCTCGGTTATGCACAAACTCAAAAGGGTTATCGCTGCTATGGTCCTGTTTCATGGAGGAGATTTGTCTCGATGGATGTCACATTCTTTGAGGAGGCACCCTATTATCCTAGGGCTTCTCCTCAGGGGGAGAGTAGTGAGAATTTGGGTCTTTTTCCTCAGGGGGAGCGCAATGAGAGTGGGGTTAACTCATCTGAGGTTGTTCCTTTACCCATTCCATTGAGTGATGAAGGCTGTAATGGTGAGGGTTGTCAGAGGAATCAGGAGTTGAAAGTCTATCACAGGCGATGCAGGCAGGTTGATCTCGGTCATCGACAGTCCAAACCAACTTCAGTTCCTTCTGCAGATCCAGATCCAGGTACTTCCCCTCCTTCAAATGACCTTGACCTCCCTATTGCGGTCCGTAAAGGGAAACGGTGTTGCACCACATCCACAACTCACTGCATTTCCCAGTTTCTATCCTATGATCGCATGTCTTCCTCTTACAGGTCCTATCTCACTTCCATTGCCGATATCCCTATCCCTAGAACAGTGCAAGAAGCCTTATCAGTTCCAAAGTGGAAAGATGCAATGAAAGTTGAGATGGATGCCCTTTTGAAAAATAATACTTGGGAACTAGTTGACCTACCCAGAGGAAAGAAACCGGTTGGATGTAGATGGGTATTTACTGTGAAACATAATGCTGATGGCTCCATTGAAAGGTACAAAGCCCGGTTGGTTGCAAAAGGGTTTACTCAGATTTATGGTATAGACTACTT